GGGGGGGGGGGGGGCAGGCCATTAGCAACCCACTGGGTTACACACACAGCACGACAAAGCATGACAGTGTGTTTACTACCTCGCTTTAGGAAAGTAGCCGCTCGCTCCACAAACCCTGATGAAAAGGAAAATGAATGAAGGAGAAAACTGAAAAATAATACTATGGATGCAACTGAAGAATAGCAGATGAACAGAGAGGATACAGAGCATAAAAAAATGGATCAGAATCCTCAAGTTTGAAATGAGGCCAATTTTAGAGAATCAGAATAATTACTATTTCTGTTGAGTATAAGTCTCTAGAGGGAATAAAAAAGAAAATTCTGGAAAATGAGTGTTTTTCCTTCTTTTTCAGTCTGTATAAAACGACCACTAGATGGAGATAATGTCACTTCTGTTCATCATTGACACACAGCCCAATCATTTTTCTGCTACTTTCATTATTTGCACTTATCACATCTTTAGCATGCAGTCAGAGCAGAGTCTTACCTGACTTCTTCTTCCCGATGGGTTCCCTGTTAAAGATGGGAGACTGTCACCATACAGCCAAATACATTTCAAAAGTCTTTACAGAGCAACTCATGCAAATTCCTCAAAATCTCTCAAATCTGGCAAAGAAAATGGAACAAAACAAACCATTCAAAAGGGAAATCTATTGCTCATTTAGAATCCTGACAACTATTCATCTCACAAAGCTCATCTATGGATGAACACCAATACTTACCATTATCTTATCTCCTGCTTCTGCAATAGAGAGATCAGAGGGTCTGGATCTGCCTCCGTGTATAACCCAGACCAACATGTGCAAGCATGTATAGCTGAGCTCTTAAACTCGGCCTGATTCGAAATGAAATGCAGCATCTGCTGCGTCTGTTTTAGGCATTAGCCAGATAAATAGAGCATCACTGCGAGGCAGCAGTCAAAAGTTGATTCAATGGCCAGATGTCTCCAAAAGTCATCGGTGGCCAATGCTTAATGTTCCACTCTCTCTCCGTCTTTGTTATCTAAATATTGCTCCCCTGCTTTATGGCTTTCCATTGCTCCCTTTTTTCCATCTCACATCTTCTATGTCTACTTAGCTCACTCCCCTCATCTGGCTCGATGGGTTTTCTTGGCAGCCACCTCTCGTCCATTTCCATGCATCCACACGAACACTTTTAGTCTCACGAAGCATTGTTCGATCGGTAAAACTGTTAATTGGAGAGACTTGAGTCTCGATAAATCTTTACCCACAAGTCTAACCATTTAGGTGCTATAAAAAGAAACACCAGGGCAGGCCAATGCCAGCAGTCCCAATAATTCTGGTCATCCCAAAAGAATGTGGATGACACATTAGTGTGCTGTTTTTTTAATCTATTTATCCTTTTTAAACAGACGAGGAAAACAAATGTAAATGATTATTCTGACTCGTTTATAGTTGTATTAAATACATTTTTCACCCATATGTGTTTGTGTTACTTTGAGGTTGATGATAAGAAACTGAAAAATAAAATTAATTTATTAATATGTGAAATATCTGGTAATATTTTACTAGAATGGGTCAAGCTTTACTGTAAGTAAAAAAATAGGTAAATAAGGTACAAATTTGTGTGCTTAACACTATTTTCTTACTAATATCTAACTTTTTACATTAATATTACTAACCAGGTTTTTAAAGCAGTTTTTTTTCTATATATATGATCGTCTTTCCTTTCCCATTCTCACTTTTGTCACAACGCATCCTCTTTTCTCCAGATTTCCTCTTCTCTCACCAGTCTTAAACCACACACACTTCCTCATTACAGTAAATTCTCCCGTCCCTCTCTTTTTTGCTGCCCTTAAGAAAAAAAAAAAAGAGTCCAACATGTCTGTTTTACAGCGGTGGATTTATGGGCCACGATAATGCTCCTCCCTCTGTGACTTCTCAGTCTGTGCAGCAGCCTTTCTGTCAGCCGGCCAAACGGCAGACAGCAGCAATCCAATTTAAATAAAAGACAAACCAAGGTCTTTTTCTTATTTATCCCACTCCAGAAAATGCTCCTTTATCCCCTTCCCTCCCCTCCGTTCTTAGTCGATGCATATCATCAACGTCTGTGATGAAACTAACCAGCACCCTGTTGCTTTTATGTCCACGTTTAACTAAGCTCATCTAATGACCCTTCATTTCTGCACATCTAGCTTTTTTAACAACATATGACTGCTCAACCTCAGCGAAATATCGTGCTTAATTGATGCTAGACATTCACTTATTGGATTATTTCTGCTCTGCTCCCCTTGGAAATGAGCAGTGGCTCAGCTCCTTCTGCTTTCCCACTCTATACCCATGGATAATATCTCATTAATTAAAAAAAAAAAAGGGAAAAAAGGCACAGAATGCAACACGTGTTAAGCTTAAAGGTTAAGTGGCATCTAGCGGCAAAGTGGCAGATTGATACAAATACCCTAGCTCCACTTTCTCAGCCTTACTCACTTTACCCACTCTGGGTTACTGTGGGAACATTAAGGTGTTAGCGCATTTGAACAACGTACCAGCACAGTCTTAGGTTTAATCTCAACAACCGAAGTGGGGGTCAAAATTGACATCTTTCGAGCCAGATCGCAAACTACAACCTCCTTCCATGTGCCGTTTTACAGCAGAAAGCTTGCACATACTGTCACAGGACTTCTCATGACTTCCCCCCCCCCACACCCTGCGGAAACTCCTCAACACTGCACGTCAGCGTGCGATGACACAACCCTTAAAACTCCTGACCCAGCTGACAGCTGTGAGAGGAAAATAAAAAGAATCAAAAACAAAAAAAAAAAAACAGACCGCCCTAAAGCCGCCGGTCACCCAGAAAAGTGATCTGAAATTAAAAATCTCTGTGTGTCGGCACATGCCCGGGTGTTGGAATTCGGTGCCGACTGGCACGTGAAAACTGTCGGCTCCTTAAAAAAATAAACGACGCCAGTAATAATGTTGAGTAAGATTTACAAGAAATAAGTGAGGTAGTCCACAACCATTTAGGGACAAATCGTGCAGTCTCAGCTGTCTGGAGCCTGAGCTGCAACTACACGCTGACATGCAAACTCAGCACTTTAATGACCCGTCAAGTATGTTTCTGCCTAAGAAAAAAAAAAAAAGAAAAAGAAAAAACAGGATGTAGTGTAACATTAGACAATCACACACATTATATAGCATAATGGATGCTCATTACTAGCTGAGTGGATGAGAAATGCGGGCAGGATGGGCCCTGACATGAAACGGGGCGATGACAAACAACTCTTTGTTCGCTGTGGGCACGCTGGAGTGTTTTAAAACTTTGCATCGGTTCTCTCTCTCTTTCTTTACGTCTTTGTGCGTGTTTTACGTACTCCTTCGGTGGGTTGAGGTCTTCGGGTCTGGTCTCGAAAAACACTCGGACCTCTTCACACTGGGAGATGTAGACTGGCAGCTGAATCAAAGCCTGGACAAACAAACAAGACAACAACAACAAACTCGGGTTAGCACATAGCCTGACAAGTGCACACGAGCAGATAAAATATAAAATGTTCTATTAAAATGTCACAGCCGTAAAATATACAGAATGTTTGACTGCATGTGTTTTAATACATGGTCAACAGTTTTGTGTTGTACCATAGGGGCCTCTTAGCTGGCTTATCAGGTTCCATAATATACATTACCACTTTATATGATATACTATAAAAGTTTTTTTTAATTTAACACAGAGATGCTGTCAGCACTGCTAATTCCTATTCTTATATCTTGTCTTTCTCACCATGATTCTACATTTCCTGAACTTCCTGAAATAAAGTAAAAGGATCCCTCTAATTCCTTTAGTCCAGTTAGCTCTAACCATGGTAGAACTGCAGTAAAATCTCACCCAGACATTTTGGAATCTTAGAAGCAATATCTGATAAACACCTTATTGTGGTTGTCCGAGAAGGTAATTTTTTCTTTCTTTTTTTTCTTTGCCCCATACCAACTATTCTACAGTATTTTATGAGTTTCCAAGAGTCAAAATACTGAAGATACACTAATTAAAGGAATGAAACGGCCCTAAAAACACATTTTTAATCTGGCAGCTCAACTACAAAGTTCTAAATGACCCTGGGCCTAAATACATCTAACACTAAGAATAACGTTAAAACACGCTGTATGAAAAGATGTCAGTATTAAACACAGATGAAAAAAAAGTGTCATTTACATGGCAATGTCCAAACTAAGCCCCTTTATGACTTTACGGGTCTTTATGATAACAACTGCATCTTGGGTTCAAGTTGTGAAATTTCTAGTCTTTTGTCTGTTTTTCCTTATTGTATTCTTTATTCTTTTCTTTTCCTTTCTCAGCAGGGAAATAACATGACCCACACAACAGCATGGCATTGTGTAAACAATCTAAACGGCTTTTAGACCATGCACGCCGTCCATAACAGCTGGAGGATAGACACAGTGGACGTCCACACATTTAAACCACAGACGCATCGATAACAGAGGAAAAAACAAAACAAACCTGTTTTTTTCCCCTACATTTCGAATCAAGTTTCAATCGATATCTTACTCTCCCGAGCGTAGCTCATTGATCACCGTTGGCTACAATCCTCTTTGATCCTACTCTCAAAGCACAGCCCTGACCACAAACCTTGAGACACATTGAGTTTTTCAGTTTACTGGTGTCTTGCATACTGACACACACACACACACACACCTACAGTCGGTCATGTTACTAGTAACTCTCTTATTCTGTGTATTTTTTGTGTTTTGAGTCATCTCCCAAAATGTGTCATCTACAGTACTTGGCTCTGTCTTTCACTCATTCTCAAAAGAGGAGACGGTTACAGGTGCCCATGGCAACCCTGAGGGGGTCCATCTTAGTCCAGATGAGGAGGAGGCCACACCTCCACCGACTGGCAGGCAAAGCCAAGCGCCATCCGTCAAGCCTCCGCTGATTTTAATACCCTTAAGTGTTTCGGTTTTGTCCTTTGAAAGGGAGCACAGTCAACCTCCCACAATGCCCGTCACACCGGTAAGACATCATGGCTGACGTATATATGGAATGAAATCCAAAGGCCTGACCCGGGCGTCCTTGTGATACTTGCGATCACAGGTCTGTGCCAGCAGTTTGGCTCGGGAAAACCTGAGCCACGGCTACTCTGGAAAAAAAAAAAAAACGCCATTCTCGAATGCAAAGCCGTTCAGAATATGCTAAAGTACACAGCCTGTAATCCGGCTTTTATTATGTACGACACATTCTCCGGAGCGCTATTATTCCTTTAAGTTTCCTGTCTTACAATAGCTACATCTAAATGTTTTGTTGAAGCTAAGTAGCTGTGTTTTAATAGCCTTTATCAGCCGAGGAGTCTCATTGGCCGGCATGCCTCCGTGTGCGTGAGGTCAGAGTGTGTCCTGATATGCTTATGCTCCCCCTTTAGATTTATTTCTCTCCTCACGTCGGTCTGTTCTCTGTCCACTCATTACAATTCTCCCCGGGGAGTAGACAGGAGAGAGGCTCAGGGTAAATTATGTTAAATGGACTTTATGGGTGTCCTTTACAGTGCGGAGGGGGTGGGGGGGGCGCATTAAGGTAATTGGGTATGTCTGCACATGTGTGCGTACATGCATACAAGCACGCCTGTGCATGTATCCTCAAAGGTAAAACTAACAAATTTAAAAAGGTCTATATATATGTTCTTTATATGGTTGGTATACTGGAGCTGAAGAGTATATGTGCACAGTCTATAGCAGGAATAGAGAGAATAACAGCATATGGTTCGCCATGACAACAAAAGAGGATAATGTGATCATGTATGACTAAATATGACAAAAAATATGGGGATTAAAATCCTTTGACTACTGCTATAAGACTTGAGTAGATACTTTTCTGACTAAACAGCACATTTTAGATGTTATTTGTTTAGTACGTTGTGATCCAAGCTCAGCAGTCCTTTCTTTTGGTTTAAGCAAATAACATTTTTTAAAAAGCCTGATTCTTTTGTGTTTTTCTTCCGTCTTTCTTTCTGTCTTCCTGACCTGAATAGAAAACATACAGCTGCAAAACCAGGGAAATTCCAAGTGAGTCAGGTTAAAGCCTTAGTTGTAAAACAGAAGGGCTGACTAAGGGCTAACAAGAAAAAAACTTCAAGTTTCACCTTGTCAACCTGAATACATGTTAGGGTGGGTAAATTCCCTTTCTGTTCAGAAAGTGACTCTTTTTTTGTGTCATGCTAAAACTTTTTTTAAAAATCATAATCACAAATATATTCTCCAATCAACCGGCTGTTTTTATAGCTCGTCATACATTTCCACAACATCAATTTCCACAGAAAAAAAGAAAAGTAGAGCTGTTGCATACATGGCTTAGCTATTCCTAAAAAACATCCACACCCACTGACAGAAACCAACAACCCCCCCCCCCCCCAGTCCCTCCCCCAAACTCTTATTCTTAACATAAGTGGTTAAAGATGTTGCCTACTCCAGCTGAGCATTCCTTTAACTCCAGATGACAAGGAAGCCCTTCAGTCCTTAGCATTGTTTATTATACATAGAAGCCTCCGTCTCCACCCCAAGGCCCTCGGGGTTGTTGTTTCAGTAAGGGGGAGGTGCTTATCAGTCCTCAATCTGAAACAACTTTGTACAGTGAGGAGATGCTTAATGGACAAGAGAAGAAGCCAAAGAGAAAATAGGAGGACGATGGCTTTGTTTGGAGGGATGTTAAAGAGTCTCTTCTGTATAAAAAAAAAATCAGTGCACCACAATTTTGGTTTAATCTGACAGGAGTTCAGAAATGATTCCCTTTAGATGGTCAAGATCAAAGTGGAGTCTGATTTTTCTACACAAACCAGGCATCCCAATTGTCCAGCATGGTGGTGGAGGGGTGATGATGTGGGCTTTTTTTATCAGCCACGGGACCTGAGCACCTTTAGACCGTTGATCCGACCACAAACTACTCACTTTAGTAAAATATGTCACCATCTATCTTTCATGCAAAGCGTTGAGTAATTTGATCAATGGCACATGGGAATGTTTTCAAAGGCAAAACATATCTAAAGCAATGTTAGGCCAGAGTGATGTGTGACTGATAACGTCACCCAGAATGCAAATATACTTGGTTATTGTAACCGCAGCAACTGCGAATCACTGAGTGTTTATTTAGTTTTTCCTCCCACTGATTGCATTCTTCTTTCTGAGAAATCCTGTCCAGCTACGGTTTCATAAACAGTCAGTGGTTATTTCAGAAAAACACATAAAAGTCCGAGTAATGCCGTCAGTTACTTTAATTACCCGTTTTATTTAAATATTTCTGCAACAAAGAGGCTAAAAATATATTGACATTTTTCAAACACATTTTCTCCTATTAGTTTCTTATCTGTGGAAGGTCAGAGTCTGTGTGAGAGTGAAGCCTTTGTGAAGCTTGCAGGACATTTTAGCTTAGAGTGTCAAAGAGATTATTTACAGAGGGGTTAGTAAAATATTACTGTATAAATCTCCTTGTGAGGCAAATCTTGCAGAATGGCCATAATTTCAGTCTTGAAAACAATTTGTTTGAATGAGTCAGTGATGGTAATGGGGGCTCACATTTGACAAATCCATGTTGTACAGGGAGAAATGGAATAAATCAATTTAAAACTAAAGATCAAGTGGTCTGGTCTCTAAGTGCAATCCTCAACGCATGAATCTTGGAAAATGGATACTCATAAAGGGCAAAGCGGTGGTTACGGTTCGGTTGTGCAATTTGCGCTCATCACAAAATCTCTTAAATCACTTTTATGATTTTGAAAACAAACAAAGTTTCAGAAACGATGTCATCAAACCGTCCATAAAAACGGTTACACCGCCGTTTAACATCAAAACTCTAAATTCCAAGTATAATTCATGGTTAAGAGTCAACAATGACCACGATAACCACACGGCATAAACACTCTTGCCCCTTCAAAAACGCCATTTTTACATGGACACTAATCTATGTACGCTTTGTTTTATTTAACGTGGCATTACGTAGTACTGTATAATATCACAATGACAAGGAGGATGAATAAAAAGAGGTAAAGTTTAGAGAAGAAAAAACATAATACGATGAGTCAGCGCATTGCCAACAACAGGCTATTTATTATGGGTATGGATAGTGACTGTAAAGTACATCAGGAACCGTTTCTTGAAAACAAGAACAATAAATTGGATTGTTTCTAAATGTTGTCCCTTTACTCAAATGCAGATGTATCGATAAAGCAAAAAAAACAACAAATTTTCAAAATTGGTCAAGGCTTCTGTCTGTGTGTAGCTACAGATAAGCTCCCAAATATCCGCTCTGCACTGAATTGACTTCTCGCTTAAAATGTGCCAACGTGTAAAGACAGATTTTTAACATTTAGGTCGATCCATTGTTCGTGCAGAGAACTTGTCAATACATTTGTCAGTGAACTCACCCGGCAGTACTCGTTGATGGGCCTCAGCCTCTTCATGGCTACATCTCTGATATGGCTCCTCCTGAAGAGAATTTTCCCTGAAAGATCGGAGGAACAGATTTATGAGGAGGTCAAGGTTGCTGCTCCATGTCATCGATTCAAAATTAGCATTTTTATATTGGCTTAGGCAGGGGGCAGCACTGAATGCAGGTATTTCCACGCCGTGAAAAGAGTCGGGAAGGGGACATTTTGCCAGCATGCCAGTTACAATTCAACCTTTTGTTCTTACATCCACAAGCCCAGACAAGCTGGGCCCATACAAAAAAAATAAATAAATAAAAAATAAGTAACTAAATCCTAGTTCCTAAATCCCTGGAAAATGCATTGTCATTTACTCAAATTTACTCTTTGTGTGGTTGATCTTAAGGCGAGTTAAGGCCTTTTAGACAATTCTACACTTGAAAACTGTAAAACCCACAAGTTGCTTCAGGTCTTTAGGTGCTAAAGGAGAATGTAGGGCTGTGTGTGGACTTCTGAATGCACATTCACAGACAAGCAGACCTTGCTAATTCGGCGCAATAACCACAACCACCAACACTTAAATTCACCCCAAACCCTCACCCTCACCCCAAACTCTTTCAGCAAAGTATACGTTGACTCAGGCGGCTGACAAAAGCAAAGACTAAACCACATTCTGAGAGAAAAAAACTGCTGAACGGTGTAAAATCTTTAACACATCGTTGTCTCTAAGGTTATGAAAGCAACACTAGAAAGCAAGTCTGTAAGTGGGTATTAAATCATCTTATTAAAAAAAAAAAATCTAAAGAACTGTATTATTAGCTGTTCATATGAACAATGAAATGAACATCTGCCCTTATCTGATGAGACGATATGAATGAGCAAAAGCAGGCACATTTTTCTTAGTTAAGTAAGTAATTCATTTGAAGTCTGTATTACAATAAACAAATTAGGGCAATTCTTTCTGGTTACGTCCATTTTGTTGACCACAATCTGACCGAATGCCATGAAATATTGAACGTAGGAGGCCCTAAGGCAGCGAATCTTGGTTAATTAGCTCTTCCTAAACTGGAACTCAGGTACATTGTTCAAAGTTGACACATAGAGTTCAAGATGTGATTGAAAATCAACAGATTGGAACAAAATTCATGGCAAGCGCATGTATTTCCAGAGCAGTACACCCCGCTGACTTTACTGATCCTCTCATCTCTTTCCACCAGCAGTTTGATTGACCCACAAACGGACGCTAGATCTGATACAGTCGATAACACAGCACCCATTTTAGCTGTTCACACGGCAAGTTTACCCACACACAGGATGCTATATCTCGCTAACCAATATTATCCCCCACGAGGGCCTAATTTTGTTGTATAAGGAAGGACCTGTATGACGTATTGTATGACTTCACCTGTTCAGATTTACCATCAATTTTAAGGAAAAGATGAGCACCAGACTAAAGTTTGATTAAAAACTGTGAAAAAGCTGCAAAGGCCTAAGGCTTTGGCAGCGTCGTTCTGGACAGCCCTCAAAAAAGCCAAAGACATCTGAAAGTCAGCCGCACGGTTCCTCCTCCCTCTCGCTCGTTCCTCCCTCCCTACCCCCTCGTCACTTCATAAACAGAAAGCGTACTTGAAGACGTTCCAAAAAGCTCTCCGGGGTCAGGAGAGAGAAGCACTGACTCAACACTGCTCACTTTGTATGCGCGGCATGCTCACGGATGCAGCCAGTGAAAAGAGATGGTTTGGGGAGGGAGGAGGGAGGAGGAGGAGGAGGGGGGGAGGAAAAAGTGGCTGAGGCCGGCTAGACTTTACGGCAAACCCAACCGGCCAGAGGTGGCAAAACAGAGAGGGTCAGTGTTGCTCGTAGACCGCCTCACACACACAGAGTCCAAGCTCTCCATCGCCAAACCCAACACCCCGTTTTTGCCTTTTTGGGACCTTTCATGTTGCTCATATAAAAAAAATCCCAGACCTGTAATTGTTTTGAGACATGACACATGCAATAAAAATGCCCTCTGATATACCTACGGAAAAAAAACACGATTCTGTGACACGATTCTGAACCTGCCTGTCATGAAATTTAGAGTTTCCATCACAAATCTTAAAGAAAAGAAGAACTTCCACAATAGATTTAAGTTTTGGCCAGAGGTTTACTGACCAAAGATTTATTATTTGGTTGTATTTTTGAGCAGGTTTAAGTCATATTACCAAAATGACACCTTTATTATATTATAAGAGGACCATTGGTGATTCAGATTCAAACTGAGGGCTGAGAGGAAGTGTATTCCCTCAGTCCTCTAAACACACAAGATGAATGTGCCGTAACCAGGACTCTAGCAGTGAGCGCACAGTATTCCTGCTCTTAATCAAGAACTGCCAAGGACATCTGAGTTTTTAAGCTTCGTGCAACTATATTTGACCCGGCCGATGTGCTGTGCCTCCCACTGTGTCCAGCAGAGAGATCCCCAGCTGAAAAAAAAAGTTATTCAATAACTAAAGGTTATTTTACCATCTAAAACACAATGACAGAGTCTGAGGAATAGCGTCTAAACCATTTGTTAGTCTCAGGCAGGTCTGACCACTGTAACGGCCTGCTCACCGGGCCGTCCAAACCAGCTGTGAGACAGCTGCAGAACACCCAGAATGCTGCTGCTCCAGTTCTGACCAGAACCAGGATATACGACCACATTAGTCCAGCGCTAAAATTTCCTTTTCGCACACAGAAGAGATTTTTTTTTTTTTTTAACGGCTCTACTCGTGTACAAGACTCCTCACTGTGGACCGCTACAGTACACATCTGGCATATTAGAGCCGTATGAACCAGCTCAGACCCTGTGGACCTCAGGTAGTGGTCTCCTGTTGGTGCCATGGGTCAGAACCAAACAAAAAGAGGCTGCGTTTCAGTTTTAAGCTCAATTCTTCAGATCTTCAGTTTTGTGTTCTAGAACAGTCTTCCTTTTTTTTTAAATGTTTGTTTTACAGTCTTCTTGGAACAGTCTTCCTGAAGAAGTCACACACTGACAATATTCAAATCCAGGCTGAACACAGTTTTATCTATCATTCAATTTATTAACGATCACTTTTTGTGTTTTAATGTTTTTTTTTTACTTTTCTGATTTTATGATGTAAAGCACCCTTGAGCTAATTATGCTCCAACCAATAAACTTGCCTTGCCTAAAGAGGAAGAGGAGGACGAAGACAAAAGGCAACCAGTGTTACAAATTCATAGTTCACTACTGGGAAATATCACCTCTAACCCTGAAGGGGCCCTGAAGAAACAGACACGCATTCCATCTCAGGTCTTTTTTCCCCCCGCAAAGGCTAATGTCCAGACACCGTCTTAAGAAACATCTATGAGTGATAAACGGACAAAAAGTGTTTTATTTTACCAACAACTGGGATGTCGAGAAAGCTTGAACCATTCCTCATTTAGTCATGTGTTTTAGCCGACTGGTTTAAACTTGAAAGATGGAGAATAAACAACTTGTTAAAAAAAAAAGGGAAAAATCTAACCAAGAAGTCAGCACTGTGCGCAAACACAAAAAACCCCTCTTTGCTGATGTGGAGATACTGATGGAGTAAAAGCAACTTGGGGCCTTGAACAAACCAAACCAAGAAGGGGGAAACCACTTCAGTGCTCAGTGAGGTTGGCCTCAGTCCACACACGCTTTTGTGAGCTAATCATTTTCTCAACTTTGAGCGAGCTTCAGCAATTCACAGGGAGACGTCTGATCTTTTCTGTGACCCGTACCAGTGAGAATCACTCTAACATCCTTTTTTATTAAAAGGCAGCCAGCAAGGATCATTTTTCAGCAACCTTTCACCTGCAAAGGGGGCTTTGCAAGACACTCACCGATAAAAACAAGTGGAGAATTCCAGTTACACCGAAATTAGACTGATCTTAAAAAAAAAAAAAAAAAACTTTAAAAAAAGCTTTGTGTTAAGAAGTTGGGGATTTTCTCCTGAATCCTTATTTTTAAGCTCTAAGAAGAAAACCTGTATTAGGAAGGCAGATAAAAGTTTAACACTGACTGTAAAATGGGGTTTTAAGAAAATTTGACTTTTTCTGTAACTTTTCTCTCCACTTTCTACTCAAAGCTTATCAAATATTGCGAGTAAGTTTGGGGAGTCCGGGGAGTTTGGGGAGTGAAAGCTTTCAATGAGTTCCAGACATGCATGGGCATTTGAAAGAAATCCTATCCCCCGACCATCCCCTGGACTGTGGGGGGAGATGTGGGTGGGATCTATGGGTGAGGCTGTCCTCGTGAAGAAATACTTTCAGCTGGAGTTCAGAAGTCGGACAAGAAAGCCAAAAGAATTTACTCCAAACAAACCTGGGCTATTTTGGTTCCTGTCCTTTTTCTTTTTTGTTGTTTTTTTCTCTTATTTTCCACCCCACACAAACTTTCCCTTCAGCCACGATAGCCGTGTGGCTTTTCTGGGATTTGAACTTTACGCAATGCAAAAATCTAGATTTGATTTAAAACTAAATAGGAAAAGTATGCTGAGACTCCAGCATACAATTTGATGAATTTCTTCCAATCGGCAGAGTTTCTTTGCTTTGTTAAGAGATGGTGAGGTTTTTTTTACCAGCTCTGGCAACTCAAGGTTCCTCATGACAACATAACTTACTCTAGTCAAGATTATCAGCAATTTATGGATGAACAGTGCACGGTATGTTTCAGACGAATGGATCTGAGTGAGATGCAAAGGGAGGAAAAACGTAAAAACAATTAAGTCAATCTGATAATGGGAAATGAAAGTGCTAACTAATCGTTTTGTGTTAGGGGTATACCTTATTGCTATTACCAATAGGGTTCAATTCTTTATTGTATTCACAGATTGGATTGGATTGCAATAACCCACTGAATAACTCTTCTAATAACTCTGTTTTTATGTTGAGGACATGCAATAGTTTGCTGTAGGTGTGTGTGTGAATGAGAAAGGGGAGGGGAGATGGGGTGTGTTCAGATCTCACCTGGTAGGAACGGAATGATGCGGCGCTTGGGGTCTTTCTGGCCTCCCTCCACTGGGAATTTATCCAGCAATTCCATCTGAAAAAACCCCCAAAATGGGCTCAAAGTTAATGGCATTCTAAGCATTTACATTTACGGACAGCACGAGCACACATATGCTTCGAATAAAACAGGACAGCAGAGGGTGGTTAGGAAGTGATTTTTACAAATCAGCAGTTCCTACAAGGAATCTGGCCAATATGGGCAGGTCTGCCAATGATTAGGAATGTACCGAGCAGATGGTATGGTTTTTTCCCCCCTCTGCTTCATATGTTTCTGCAACTGACGGCCTGTTAGCAGCGAGTCACCACTGACACAGTGGAAACATTTCTGTTTCCATTTTAGAACGTCAGCAAGCATTGGCGATCCTTTTTTTTTAAACGTTTGTACTCTTTAAAAGTCAGTTCGTCTTAAGAGAAAGACTAAGTTTGCTTTTCTCAGCATGCGACTTGTGAATAACAGTGTTAATGTGATCGTGTGCAAGCTCCACATGCAGCTGAAGCCTGTTAAAAAAAAAAAAGGTTTTGGCATCACTGACCAATGAAATTCTGCACGCTCAGCTCTTTTTCTTACAACAGCTCCGCAAACACAGAAAAAAATCACTTGTTCATGACTTAATTCAAGTTTATTCAATTGCCATTTACCTTAGATCTATTTCCAATTACATTTTAGTCTAAATGTGCCCACCAAATGACATGTCAGGGGACTTTGAAGACCTGGATTTAAAGTTCTTAAGTGCAGTTTGCTTTTGACAGCAAATACTCTTGTGATTGTCTAAATTAGGAAAGCTTTACTCAAACCCCTACAGATTAAAACTACTAAAGCAAAGCTTTTAGGAAAATATTATATAGAGTGATGAATCATATCATCAAGTGGAAACATACAAGATCCATAGACAAATACTCTAAAAGACATGCACTTTTTGATGAAGTATTAATCCAATGCGGTGCACAATAAATTCGACACTTCCTGGCTCCATCTTTGGAGCACAGCAACAGAGAAAATGCATGTTTTCATGTATGGGGAAGATTTATCTTTTATGGTTATACTCTTCTGAGAAAGCGACACAGTCCACAAACTTTCATTTTATTCAACACTGAGAGTGTTTGAATGTTGACTGCTTCGAAAACCATTTAAAGAATGTTTGAATGTAAAGAATCAAGGGCTTCATTTGGTCACTTTGCCACAGAGAGGTCGCACACAGCACACAAATACCTTTTCTTTCCACAGATATTGATTTTTCAAACGTTAAGTGATCACACGGACAAAGGTTTTACTGTGCTCATGGTGGCCTGTGGGCATAAAAGAGGAATGTTTTTAACCAACCACATAGTCTAAATCCTTTTCTTTACAGTGATGTCTCTATTAGGAAAATAAACGGCATTCTTTTAAAGGCTAGATCCTTTACACCTTTAGGCTAAAATGACAGACTGCAGATCTGCTGAATAAGCTTTTTCCAACAACAACAAAAAACTATAAAAAAGATCTCAAATCAAGCATTGTAATACACAAAATACAATCAGGCGTGTTGGCGCAAATCTGAGCTTAATTAATCCCTTTTTAAACTTGTTGGAATCCCTCAAAACTCCAGCAAACATGGGGCTTTTGAGTGCAGTGGGGAAGTGTATCGGAATTTTGTCCAATAGATTTAGTCGCATTTCTCTCTGTCAGGTATTTACCAGCTTCAGTCAACACTTTACAAAGAGATACGCTTAATCTTTTTCAACTCCATGTGAAACATCAAATAACTTACAATCTGTACTGTTGGTGCAGAGCTGATGTTCGAGAACGCATTGTACACTAATCATCTCAGAAAGTTGCGATTCACGCAGCCTGCAGAAAGAGGTGTAATGTCATCCTGTTACTGGCCATAGGAGAGGATTTTCATTTATCCATCTAGGGTTGAAAAATGCACGGAGCCCCTGAAGTGACATTAAAGGAAAGAAACATTATCATGCGCACAACATACCAAGTTATATGTTAAATATGGCCACTGAAGAAAATCTCTTATGCTTTATCAAAATGCTAAAACATAGTTAATAATACCACCCAAAAAACAACCTTAATTCATTCATTCGTTCACCAGAAAGCTTGTTAATCTCTTGAGATATCACCGTGTTGGAGCCTAACTCTAGTGAAATTTGCAAATTGGCAATGGCTCAAGAGTCAGTTTCAAATCTATGGAGGCCGTAAGGGGACAAACAAAATGCTTATCAGGCACATGTGAAAATGTCTGTGAGAATCCTCTGGCTCCAAAGGTTTAATTCAGTCAAATCTAATTAAAATCCCAATGATGTCTACTAAAATTTTTTATAAAAAGTTGTCCTCTTGATAGACAAAAGAGCCGATTGAATACACATTCTGAGTCTTTTCTCAAGACACAACATAGGGCAGAGAAGGAATTTAGAAAAACCACGACGAAGTGTGCTGAACCCCTAAAGCATCAATTTGCGTAATAGTCTGAAACATTGCCAATGACACAGCAGCACCTTAAGAAGGGCACTGCACGGTAAATACAGAGACAGGCAGCCAGACATGGAGACACAAAAACAAAGAAGATCCAATACCCCACACGTTGTAATTGTTGCCATGTGTCTGAGTGCAGGCACACCCCAGTCTCTGTGTCTACACTCAATCTTATTATATCCACTCTGTAATCAGAGCTAATCAAACACACAAAAAGGCATATGGGAAGAGCAATGTCATTTCTTCAAAATACCACTCACATCATGCACTCAACGACCAACGTTGATGCGGAAGTGGGGGGTTAAATGACAGAACGAGCGAGTTGTCATACCTACTTTTAGATCTCCACTCTAACAACTGCAGAGATGCTCTTATCATAGCATTTGTTTTTTTATGTGTTCGTACATATCAGATAGTAATGCACAGAGGGATGTTGTCTGTGTACACTCGATCAAGTGTAAAAAGTCTGTGTAAAAAGGTCTAAGAAACTCATCTACCCTTTTCTGATGATACTCGTGTTATCAGTATCTGAGCAAACTCTTGCATCCACTGATGGACAGAGTAGAACATCCCCACCACATTAAGCACAATTCAAATCAATAATTTATTGATCAGAAAACAAACCACTGTCTGACTTGCACATGCTCTCATTCACCGTAGCCTGAAGAGGAGTAGGCTCATATTCTAAGGACAACTTGATCTACAGTCCAAACAAAAAAAAAACTCCCAGTTTAGGAGGTGCTGTGGGGATTAAATCCAACAGACACCCATTAGTGGGATTGATCTAAAATAGCCATGCTATGGAATTTAGCCAATTTTGTCACAAAATGAGAAATGAATACTAAAGACAACTACATTTAAGACTGGTTGTTTCTGTTTTGATTACAAGTTGTAAGGTAGGTGCCACTTGAATTGTTTCTGACAACTACAGAAACACAGTAGTTTTAGAGAAATATACATGAAAACAAGCAGACAAAGAGACAAAGTCAGTATTAAATTATATGAATGGTACCGGTTGATTCTGAAAAATTCGGTACTGAATTATCATTTGGAAATAAATGGCAATTCTAATAAGTCCCTGAAGGTTCTTCAGCTAAACCAGGAGGCTGCAACAAGTGTGCGAGCCTGTACCACCAAAGTTCCATCACATTTTTGTACTTTTAGCCTTTTTTTCCCTTTCGCTCTCCAGAATTATTAACTAAACTGAAAAAAATCTGTTGCATTTCACACAAAAATGCATTAATGGCCGAGTTTCAGCCTGAGATCTGCACGCTCTTACTGTTCCCCCGTCAGCCCACAGGAACACTTCTACTCTTACGTCATTACCGCACATGAACAAAAAAAATCTGTGACAGCACGGCAACTGAATAAGCAAAGAAAGAAAACCACAACAAAAAAAAGAGCCATCTTTTTTAGATTTTTCCTAGGGCTGTAGAACTGCAGCGTGCTGTAGGCAGGTATCTCTAAACCAGACAGCTGTCATCGAAAAGAGAGATCAATAGGAAAAAGCTCAATGCCATGTTGCTTAAAGTGAATCTGTCAACTGTTACTGTTACTGGGGGTTTTCACTCAGTTTTAACATGGTGTGCGTCAACTTCTCTTCTGTGTCACATGCAAACGTCATTTGACGGATACACTAATGAAAAACGCACATTTCCATTTGAAAGGAGCACTTCTGATCCATTGCTTTGACACTGAAGTGAGATTTAAGTGGCCATATTTCCCAAAACCAGAGTCAAACCGAGCCAGTGTGAACAGTCAGCGTCGGTGGTCACATAAAAAAAGAACTTGCTGTTGTGGTTGATCTGAAAGCTGTGCTGACAGGATGTGGGGAATGACACATCCTGTCTGGTTCTCAGGGCATTGCTATGACCAGAGGCACTTTATTACCATCAGCCTTTTTGTTTCTTTGAACTCCACCTGAATGTCAAGATTTCAGCATCAAATCGCAAGGTGGGAGGTAATAAAGACCTGGAGAGAAAAGCATTAGGTGGATTACAGGAAATAAACGAGGCTGTTGAGTGACCACGTGTCATCCTGTTGGTCAGTCAACTGAGAGAATATTTAGAATGACTTCATTCTCATTATACCCAAAAGTCAGCCAGAGAAATTACGAATTCCAGCTTCAAAAGGAAAATACCAGCGCTAAATAATTGAGACCTTTTATTAGGGTCATTAAGCTGATGGCACAATAGAGTTTTTCTTCTACCTCACCACTGAGCAGCCCTCAAAAGACGGTCAGCAGCAGGAAGCAGATGAACGTCATGGTGGTGGTGAGCAACACGGGGGAAATACCCGAGAGAAGAAATGCTTCCAACGCAGTCCTCTGATCAGCGGTGTGAGCCGTGGCCCCACTTTGCGGTTATTTGTGGCTGTTTTAAGAAAGGTTATAATTGGACTAACTGCTCTTAGCACGGTGGAATTATTATCTCAGTGGCTTGACCTGGTGTTAAGAGCCCGTCATAAACAAAGAAGGCTCATCTCCTCTCATTGACACTTGAAGGCATCGTTGTCCCTTTGGTAACAAACAATATATGGAGTCATCGGCATTAAAAATATCTCACAGAAGTGGATTTCAACGTTTAAGCTGAATTATATTCCAATCGAAACCCGGTTTAATCAAATGTCTCAAACATAACATAACTAAACATTTGCTCAGTGCCAACTATTAAAAGAAAAAATGGCCCAGCTAACAATTTTTTTAATCTTTTAATTTCTTTCTTTAATAAATTGGCCCCATCACTATATTTGCATAATGTCCTCTGGCCAGTTCAGAAGATTTAAAGAATTAAAAGAAAAAACAGGAACGGGAGGACGATAGCAGATATAAAAGTGTTCTGTTAGCAACAATTACGGCCTGAGACTAATTAAATTAGTAATGAAACCCTTTATGGGCCTTTGTTTAACATTGCCCTGGAAGGTTCACACAGCTCTGGTGAGGCTTTACGTTGCTTTTCACTCCTCGTGCCTTTGACCAGTCGAATCAACGAATAAGAATTTAATCCGGTTTACTTTGGCTGCACTCTGTGCTTAAACTGACCACACGCTCATTAAAGGCGATCGCTTTCCAGGGTTCAGTGCTCTCTTAAACTCAAACGTGGCCAGTCACCCGGATCCATCACCTTCTGGGAAGGAATGGATACTCAGATACTAACGAGATTCCCTCCTTGTGCAACACACACCGGCAGCCTGACTCCCGACAGTGACTCAGACATGTCTGTGGTCATCGGCGCGGTCAGGCTGGTACATCACTGTCCCCTGACGTCACCGGAACGTTTTTCCGACCTCCGAATGGCACGAGGTAATGACCAGTGTCACATGGGCGGGGCACGTAAAGGCTAGCAAGACGTGCTAGGTCTGTAAGGGAAGAGTCTTTTTTTAAATGAGGACGGTCCTTTCATTCCGCTTCCCAATGCTTCCCAATTCCCAATCCCGATGCTCATCACATCTTCCTGTCCCAGTGACATCATATGATAGACACGCCCCCAACGTGGCCCCGCCCACTCACCTGGAGGTCAAAGAATTTGCTGTAGCGTCTGTAAATGATTTCCGTGCTGCCATCGCTCCAGGAGACTTTGATGATGTAAACCTGGCAAAGCAAAAGACAAAAAAAAAGATTGGAACGTTAGAAAAAGACGGCCCTTTTGAGTTCAAATCCCTCCCAATCACTTCCACTATCAGGAAGAGCTGTGAATCCCAAAGGGGCCCGATGTGGAAACACGGACACACACACACACATATCAGCGTGAGCCAGCGTTAGCGTCCGTTCACACAAAAGAAGAAAAGGATTTCCCATTCTCTCTCTCATCCTGGACTATCTGAATCACTTCCAGGATCCCCCCCCCCCCCCCCACACACACACACACACACATGCAGCAGACAGAGTACAGTGGCTCTTTAAGGAACTCTGACGTGGCAGGTAGTGTCTCAAAGAGAGAACAAGGGAGACAGGGGATTAGCTGTTGTTACATTTGACCAAACAGTGGAATCAGATAAGAAATAACAATCGATGTATACGTGTAAGCGTAATTTCAATATGCCCCTATAGATATCAGTACTATAGCACGTCTAATCTGATTACTGAGACGTGGAGGAAAGCGACGCTGGGTTTTTTTGTCTGAAAAGCAGGCAGGGAGGGTGGAGATCGGAAACTCCCTGGTGGCTAACTGTGTCTGGCTCTCTGCTGCTGGCCTGGCTCCCAGTCCCTCTCTGGCCTCGCTCTCTCTTCCCGGGCACTGCGTTCAGATGTGGTCACGGACAGGTTAGAAGAGCAACACAGACATGTATGCACTCTCTTCATTAACTCATTGGCTGCCAAAGACGTCTATAGACGTCAATTCAAATACAACCGTTGACTGCCAAAGACGTCTATAGACTATAGTCTATCTTTTATGTTTTTCAACGCGAGTGGCTTGGGGGACGATCTGCTAAAGCTTGTCCGTAAATATCGGCTTCTAGACAGAGTATGTAGTAACAAATTGACCCTCTAGGTGGCAGTGCCACTTTTGATGGGAGATGAGCATAGATTGTAGGCAAATAAGAAAAAGGTAACGGTTCGCTATGAGAGAACATGTCGCCGGTGAGACGCACGTCGAGTAAGAATGGAATAAGGTAGAAACAACATTTTTTTCCTGATGAAAGAAGAGAGTCTACTCTTTCTTTTGGTGTGTTCAGTGTTTACATAGTCATAGCACAAACTATTCTGTGGCTCTTGAAAAATCAGTCAAAATGCTAAAAGAACTCTGGCAGTATGGGACTCTCTGTTCTGAAAATGGCTGGCAGTCAATGAGTTAAATAAAAAAACAAACAGTCACCAGTTTGGGATGATGAGTGTGTCTGTGTGTGTGTATGTGTGTGTGCGAATGCATGGGCATCTATACAATCTGGTAATCGTCTCTCTGGCCCGACACAAAACGCTTACATCCGAGGCCAAATGGAGATAGAACGCGTTTCATTGTCGCACCCTTGACTTCTGGAAGGCGCGGGATGCGATTGGACAACGCCAAAAAAAAGTGCTAAAACAACACGGTGTGCACAGGAGCCCTAACGGACAGATGGAGAAGTCGTGGGACCGTCCTTGACCGCTCCGCCCTGGCAGCGGTCCGAAGGTCTGGGCAGGGCCGGCACAAACACCCGCCGTTTGTACATACAAACGCACTCAGTTTAGCCGCTCCCCGAGAGGATTCTTTCCTCCCACAGAGGCCGTGCGGCGTCCGTGGAGGGAAGAACGGCGCCTGTGTGCTCCCCGGCCTTCCCCCAAAATGACTCCGGAGCCGTAGACAACATTCCCCGAGTGGGAACGCCAACCATTGGGCTCATGCACATTGTTCCTTTTTGTGTAACTCTACTGAAACAAATAAGAAGCAACACAAGTTCAAACAGTTTTTTGGACTGTTTTTGGAGCTCATGGAAGTGCAGATGCTGCTGAAATTGGGGCCAAATTTCAGCCCAGTCACTATCCAACACGAGCACTGACATAAAAGCCTCCCGGTCACCCTTCATTTTTCCTGATTTATCTGGAAATAAGCTTAATATCTACATCCGGATTGCTTGTAGTGTTTTCTGAAACCTTCCCCTATGTGACACACAGTGCTACAGACTTTTAAACCTCCCTCTGTCTGTGAAGCTGTTTTAGAACTAATATCAACTCATGAAAAAGTGAGAGACATGCAAACTGAGGCAAGGTCACAGGTCACACCAGCAAGTGGGAGTTTTAGAGGTCCAGAATCCCAACCCAGAAAAAGACAACAACAATATTTTTACAGTCTCTGCAGATCTCTGGTCACTTTTTAGAAGGAAAATATAAATAATGACGTGACAGATAAACAAAGGCTGTGGTCTGTTTTTTTGCTCACTTCATCAACTGCTGAGATTTAAATGACTAAAATCATATAAAATCTGCTAAAGTTCCAATTCAAGGCGGAGAAATAAGACTGGATGGTTTTAAAGAACCGAATTCTCTGGAACTATTTGGCCCCTTTCACTGGTCTGGGTTAACTGTAATTTGACACTCTCTTTGTTATTACTTTTCCCAACAGGACAAGAAGCAGAACTACAGTGTAACGCAGTCAGTTGCTTGCAAGAAAAGAAAAAAAAACAGCCAAGCTCGGGCTGCGTTTATCCACAAAGGGGGGCTTACGTAGTGTTTGTTCGGGTTCCGTCTCTTCTGGACATCTTGCACGGTTACTTCTTGCACGGTGCGCCGCGGCATGGTGTTTCCTCTCCTTTACCGGATCCGTTATGGAGAAAAGGCTTTTTTTTTTACGAGCGTTTTACACCCGGTTGGTAAAAGAAAGTTTTCAAGGCAACGCTCCTTTTTGTCATCCGCGTCCCTCGGTGCGCAAATCCGTTCGTCCTTAAACGCACCGCGTCCAGTTAAAACAGCCTCACGGGTCCTTGCGTCCCCCCAAAAACTCCTAAACCTCGTCCCGGAATTCCCGGACGTGCTTCCCAGACCAAAACTCCCAGCCTATCCCGGCTCGCCCACTCCCTCCCGACCCTGTGGAGCTGCTCCTGGACCGGCCCCCTCCGTGCGTAACGCCCCGGAGCAGACCAGCCCTCTGGAGGAGGAGGGGGGGGGGTGTTGCCGGGGACTGGTTGAGGAGAAAAAGGGCAAGAAAAGGAAACAAAAGCGACCTCAGTCTGTCCTGTTTTGCTGACTCGGATTAAAACATTACCTGCCCCCTTCTTGAGTCAAAGTTGGAGTAGATGTCGTCTCAATAGTTCCACATCCAGCTGATATGAGTGTTCATTAGTCAAATAGGCCTACTCTTTTCTTTTATTAAGACAATCGTTTTTAAAGGTGCTTTATTGTTGGATTGTCAATTTAAGCGACTTTGCATGCACGCATAAAGCATATCTAGATAACTTGAAGTTCAATACACATGTAAAAGTAAATTCAATCTTTAAAATGACTTAGTTTATTGACTATTGCAAAGGTTATTTTCCGTCCGCAAACATTAAGAGTAAAACGTACTAATAGGTGTCCCCTTTGACTCTAAACAACATCCAGAAGTCGAAATATATTAATCAGTTACCTCCAAACTTGTCTTTCCAATTTATTGTTGATTCTTTTTACTTTTTGCAAGTATATGATAAAAGATACGGCAATCTGAAAAAAAGTTATTTTTTGCTCAATTTTTTTGGCATAAGAGGTCTTGTGTTGTTGCGTATTTTAGGTGTTGGATCATTTTAAAATAACGCATTGATATCATTTCTAACTGCTGCTGATTATTAGGAGCAGACATTGTTGCATAATAGCTCCATCTTTAGGTTTGCAGCACTCATTACATCAGTTCTGTCTATGTGGCAGTTTGTATTTTCAGAATAAAGCCCCATGGTACAGTATAATTTCAGTAAACTAGTTCAATTTCTGTGCGTTAGGAATAAAAACTTACTGTGTTGTTATGATAACACGAAATACTATTTTAAACCTTGTGTGTTCTCCTAAGGTCTTTTATAACCTGAATGACTCCAGGAGGGCGCACAAGGGTAGAAAAAAATATTCATTGCTTTTACAATTTTTGAAAAATATATAACTTCCCTTTTTATGCTGGTCATACCTTGACTTTGCTATTTTGTTTGAGCTGGGCCACAGCAAACAGAGGGCACTTAAAAAATATGCAAATTTGTAACTTTTTGCATAATTTGAATTCATTTATATGTGTTGTGCGATACTAGGGGATGAAACTCGTTTTTACACAAAAGCAGACGGAGAAATACAACACAAGACATCCAATTGACATATTTATTTAAAAGATTTTCATATGAAAATGCTAACAAAGACTCCTTTAAAATCATACAGTTTGTTTTAGAGGTGCAGATTTCATAATGAAATATTATCTCTTCTACAAAACCTGGTCTTTTACAAGCTTGTTTGAATAAAAAACATATAACAAAATGAATAACATATATAATGTATAACATAAATCCTTTACCTATTGATGAATTTCTGAAATACTTGTTCA